TCTTCTTCTTTTTTTTTTTTTTTGCAAAAATGAATATCCAAATAAAGTACTCGTGTTAAATTGCCTGAAAAGTTTCTCATTCTCACCGCAATCATCCAAATAAAGTATTCAAATAATAAAATTATTATCAAGAAATGCAATAGAGATATTAATACGTCTGATAAGAAGTAGCAATAGTAAAACTATATCCAAATAGAAAATATTATGACAATAATTTAGTAATTATTATTGAATATATGAGATAATATCCAACGGATAGGATATTGAACTTATTACTACTGGCATACGGATTAATAGACTAAATATAAAGTATAAAAATTATTGGTACTGTGTTCCAAATCAGAAAATTAGAGAAGCAAACAAACGTTAGTTCAATAAACAAATCGTAATATAATTTCGAGCCCACTGAATTCACAGTGTGTCCTTAAGGAATTTAATCCCCTCACCGTTGCCCAAGGTTATGGATTAATTCCTCCTAGGACAGAACAGAATAACTATTTTGTGATAGCGGCACCACAAATCACAGAACTTCAGTGAACTCAACAAACGGAACAAATCACACTTGAATGTTTATTTAGAAAATACAATGTAGAAAAGAGGGGAGAAATTTTCAGATTTTCTATGTCTGAAAAATGAGGCCAAGCCTCTAAATTTATAGACAGTGAAAGGGTGAGATGAAGAGGTGCAATCCAAGAGGTGCCTCTTCCATTTTCCATTCACACTCCTTAATAAAAACGCAACGAAAATTTTGGATTTTCGGATATCCAAAAGTTCGAAGTACCAAATCCAATATCCAATATTCAATCCGATATTCAAAATCCAAAATTTTAAAAAATTAAATCCAAAATTCAATCCGTAATGTAAAAATCCAAAAAATTTAGATTTCAATTTGGGATTTTGGGTTTGCCCAAACTATGCCCACCCCAACTTAAAACACTTCTACCTAGTGACTAAATACCTATTATTTGAATAATTTTGCTTGCTTTTAAGCTATCAAAACATGAACCTCGAAATTAAGCTTTCGTTTGGCCATAGATTTTGACTTTATTTTAAAAAAAAAATTAAAAGCATCGTTTGTTAATGAAATACGATCATATTTTGGGAAAAATTTCAAGTTTTCAAAAACTGATTTAGGACAATTTTTGGATGAAGTTTTTTCTTTCACTCACAAGACTTCAACTTTTCTTCAAATAAAATGCACGTCCAAATACAACAACTTTCAAAAATTATTTTTGAATACAATTTTAAAAACTCTTTTTTCAAGTTTCAATCAAATCTATGTCCAAACACTAGCTAAATGAATGAAAAGAATGTCCAAAGAATTACAAAAAGGAACAAGAAATGGACAATAAAATATCTAAATGTGAAAAATAAAAGAAAGTACATAGTAACATTTTTACCGATATATTATTTAAAGGAAATATGAAATCGCAGTTTTAATATCAGTCAAAGAAATATTTTTCCTTTGCGAGCAACTTGGGTTTCTGTCCTCCTTGTCCTGGGCGGGAAGCTGACTGAGTTGTCTCCCCATTTCCCCTTTTCACGATGACTAATTACTCTTTAGTTTTTACCGTTTAAGCGCCATTTGTTTCTCTGCCTGAGCCAGGTACCTCTAAATCCTTCTTCATGCTGTTTACGTCCGTTTTTCAATGTTTTTTAATTGGCTGAAAGCAATCAGTATAAGTCTGATGCCAGTGTTTGTTTGGCTGCCGTTTTATGAGAAATAGTTCCAATGAAGAAAATAGGAAAAAGAGCAGAAATTTCTAGCAAAAGACGTGTGTGGTCAGGCAAATTCATGCAAACGATATACCGCAAATTGATGGAACTTCCAAAAATTTAATCTTTTTGGTTATGCTTGCAGCACAATGGGCAATTTAAGAGCTATAAATCCTTGGGATGCAATTAGGATGTCCACAAAGAGATTTTACTATGGCTGCAGGTTTTTTTTCTTTATTATTATTTCTACTCCTATTTCTTCTTCTCATGACATTTGGTTAATAAAATATGTTTTTAATTAAATCGCTCTTATGAATGCAGTGAACGTATTTTTGATGTTCCAGTAGATGTCCGCAGAATCAAAACGGGTTTTGACCCAGAAATATCTCGCCTTAACTTCCAACTGAAGGATTTAGTAAGAACAAATCAAATTGCAAAGGCACGTCAACTGTTTGATGAAATGCCATGCAAAAACACTTGCTCGGTGAACATGATGGTTTCGGGTTATGTGAAGTCACATAATCTTTCTCGTGCGAGGGAGTTATTTGATAGCATGCTCTCTCGTAATGAAGTTTCATGGACTACGATGATTGGTGGTTACTCTCAGAACAATCAGCCTAAAGAGGCTTTTAGTCTATACACGGGGATGTGTAGGTCGGGGATTAACCCGGATCATATTACCTTTGCAACTCTCTTATCAGGTTTTGATGATGCAACAACTTTAAAAGAAGTAATTCAGATTCATTCCCATATCATTAGATTTGGATTTAGTTCAAGTCTTATTGTTTGCAACAGTTTAGTAGATTCATACTGCAAAACTTGCTGCCTTGATATAGCGTCTCAACTGTTCAATGAAATGTCAACTAAAGATTCTGTAAGCTTCAATGTTATGATAACAGGGTACACAAAATACGGTTTTCATGAAGAAGCATTAAAGCTATTTATGCAAATGCGGAATATGGGTTTTCAGCCTTCAGATTTTACTTTAGCAGCAGTGCTAGGTCTGAGTGCTGGATCAGATGATGTTATTTTTGGCCAACAAATTCATGGACTTGCCATCAAGACCAGCTATGTTTGGGACATATTTGTTGCAAATGCATTGCTTGATTTCTACTCGAAGCATGACTATATAGATTTCGCAAAGAATCTCTTCGATCAGCTGCCTGAGTTAGATGGTGTTTCGTATAACATAATTATCACAGGTTATGCATGGGGTGGGCAGTATGAGAAATCATTTGATCTCTTCAAAAGGCTACAGCGTACAACATTTGACAGAAAGAATTTTCCTTTCCCTACGATGTTGAGCGTAGCTGCGACAGAACTAAATTTAGCAATGGGAAGACAAATCCATGCACAAGCAGTTGTGACAACAGCTGATTCAGTAGTTCAAGTAGGAAATTCCCTTGTTGACATGTATGCAAAGTGTGAAAAATTTGATGAAGCTAACAGAATATTTGCAAATCTGTCATACAGAAGCTCTGTTCCATGGACAGCCTTAATCTCAATATATGTTCAAAAGGGTCTTCATGAGGAGGCACTCAAAATGTTCAAGGATATGAATAGAGAAAATGTTCATGGTGACCAGGCAACTTTTGCTAGCACTTTAAAAGCTTCGGCAAGTTTGGCTTCAGTCTCTCTTGGGAAGCAATTACATTCTTCTGTGATCAGACTGGGATTGATGTCTAGTGTTTTTTCTGGCAGTGTTCTTGTAGACATGTATGCAAAATGTGGGTCCATGAAAGATGCAATTGAAGTTTTCAAAGAGATGCCAGATAGGAATATAGTATGTTGGAATGCACTGATTTCGGCATATGCTCAGAATGGCGATGCTG